CTCCCCCGCCCCTCCTCTTTTCCTGGATCCGCCTATTGACTCTGAATAAATTTTCTGGAGCAGGTGAAAATTCGTGATGCATTGCTTATGGGGGTTTTGTTTGAGGAGTGGTTTTTACGGAGAAATGGAATACGGAGAATATGTTGGGCACGATCATTGAAGTGCAGGATCAGTTCGTCAATGGTTTGAAGCTCACGCTGGATTCATGGTATGCGGCCCATATTGGCAAGCGTTCGGCCCGAGTCAAAGCGGAATGGGTACACAAAAATATTACGGTAATCTTCTTTATCACTATCACTTAACGGCGATTATTGTAGCTTGCAATATTTTTTTTTTTGTTTTGTTTTCTGACTTGTTACATTCTTCCGATGAGAGAAATGCAGTTTTTTGGTGTAATTTAGTGCAACATGGATGTTGGACTCGATACCGGGCCGCTGATGAATTTGTCTGCTGTGACAGGCTATCGTGGATGGCTGCTGGGCTTCCAAAGTACTTTTGACGTTTCGAGCAGTGAAATCAAGGTAACACCATTTTCGGTTTGTTGAATAAATGGTTTATTGAATTTCCAAGATGTTGTTAGTAGAATTTCGCAAATTTTGCAGAATTTGGGTGTTTCATTTGCTTGCATTGGTAAAGATTATGTGCTGCATTCATTGGTTAATGATGGACGCGAATTCAGCGGATCGTTCTTCCATCGCGTTGCACCAGTATGTCTTTTTTACCTTTCTGCTTTGATTTGGGGTAGCAGCAGTTTCAAGAATATGCTTTCTAAGAGTTATGGCATACCCTGTACACTGAAATTATTCCAAAATATGAGTGGTACGGTTGCAGCTCGGCAGAATTGAAGGCTTCTTTACATAGATCGTAATAGTGGTAAAAAATGAGGTTGCCTGCAGTTGTTGCATTAATGGATGCAGTGCCTCATTTTTAAGCAGCACTCGCATTTCACTTTTTTACAGAATTTGGATATTGGGGCTCAGTTTGGTTGGACCACTGGCGATCCGAATCCGCGTTTCGGCATGGCAATGAAGTACTGTCCCACTAGTGAGATGGAGGTGAAAGCGAAAATTGACCATGAGTCGAAGTTCTCCGTTGCTTTCACGCATCATCTCTCTCACCGAGTTTGTTTTTTTATCGCTAGTATTTGCTTACAGTTACTTGAAAAATATGCGTACTTTAAGCATAGTAGTTGGTCTTGCTGACATTTTTAAGGAAGCCGAGAAATATACCGTATTTGTGATTCGCCTTGAATTTGTAGATCACTAGAGATCGGAGTTTGTTTCGAAAATTTTTGAGACTGCTTGCTTAATTTAAAGCCTGGACAGTAGTGCACAACGCACACTGTATAGATTATAGTGACCATAGATTATGCCTCCCACCTATAAAACCTACCTTTTGTCTTTCTAGGATGAGTTTGCGGCTTTATGAAAGAAGCTTCTTTAAATCGGAGGGATGTGTGGCGTCCCAGGCATCTCATTGTGTGCTCAAATTGCAGCAGCATAGGCAGTGTTAAAACACAATAAACTACAAATTATAGCGGCGTGGAAGAGCCATCTGCAGGAGCTTGCGACACAGTACTCAACACTACGCTCTCGAATGCTTTCTCGTAATCAAAAAACAATGAAATTAGAGTAGGATATGCGCTTCAATAGCGAGTTTTAGGACAAGGATGTCATCGAAGGCCATTTTCCCAAGGTTATCTATTTAAAGTAGATCATTCGATTTTCAGGTGCGTCTAACGCTTTCGTCGCAAGTTGCACTGGCCGCAGTGAATGAGGGACACAAATATGGCTTGGGCCTGGAGTTCCGTCCGTGTTGTTAGGCGCTCATGCATTTTGGCTCCCGAGAGCTGCATAATTTGTTCAAAATTGCATCTGAGCCCTCTTCACTTGATATACTCGCAGTTTATTTTTGTGCTGTGTAATCGTTACTGACCGAGCAACAAAATTATTGTGCACTCGTCTGTCCCGTGTTTGAACCATAGCAGTCGCCACGTATTAAAACTTTTTATAATCAGATCAACAGAGGAATAATCAGCTGTCCATTCCCGCTGACCCCAAAAATTAGGGGGCGGGGGAGGGGGAGAGATCCCGATGCCCGAATTTTGTTGTGCAAGCGACATCGGCCTAGATGCAAATAGTGGGAGAGAGGAAGAGGGAAAGGAATAGGTTGAGAGTGGAGGGGGAACAGTTTGGTTTACGGCAAGTTTACAGCCTGAATTTTGGTGGGTGAAAAAGGATACCACGCTGCATTTTGCCTTGACATCGGCGGGAAATGGTTTTTAGCACGTTCAGCAATTGTAACGTAATCGAGCAACGGGGTTTCTTGTTGCTGGTTCTTCGATGAACAAGGAAAAATGGAATTAGTATCCAGGCAATTTGGGTGCGCGCCATTAAAATAGGATCCGCTAGGCGGAATTAGTGAAATGTTTAAAACAGTTGGGAATGATTGCGGTGGCTGCCAGATTTTTCTAATGAACGTAAAATTGACGAGAGAAATTTGAAGACTGACGGTCGGTGAGGCTCAGTTGTTTGAATCCGAATGTACAAAGGGGCCTGGGAGCTGTGCTTCCCCTGTGCTTAGCATAACTGCGTTTCCCGCATTCAGTTCCTCATCCGTAGTTAGGTTAGTTTACATAAGCATATGTTCGTCCAGAAAAAACTGCACGGATGTGAATAGGAGGCGAAAATCGTGGGGAAAAATGTTCTCTCCATTGCTGGCAACGTCTGAAAATGGAGGTTCATTTTCCCCTAATGATTACCCGCTCAGATTAGTTCTGGAAGAGAATCCAGAGGAATCCCAGAGCAAGAAGGGCAGGAGTAAATCGGAAATTGAGCAATTGTTAAGGAACGAGTGCGTGGCAGTGGTTCATTGCAGTTGTTCATTTTATTGCAGCAGTTTGGGGCTGTCCTCATGTTCTGCTTGAAATCGACCCGGAGCATCAAAATTTTTTGCTGTGATGCCTAGCTTTGACTTTTTCAAGCAATTTTTTTCTTTTTGCTTACAATAAATGTGAGGATTTCTTGTGTGTGTCTTCTTACTTGCCCGAGGCGTCTCTCCGGGTTCCAGAGATCGAATCGACTGAAAAGCTGCAATTCTGGCAACTTAATCCTTGTTCTCAAAGCCCTAGTGCCAGTCGAATGATATTTTTTTGGGTTTTGAGCTACGACTTTTGATAAGTCGAGGCCATATCCGCTCACATGGCCCAAACTTTAGTCCGGCGCATGGGTCAAGCATGCACGGAATCATGCGAAAAACGCATGATCATTCCTGAGTTTGATATATGCCGTTATCTGATACCGTGGAATGCGTTCAGTTCTGAGGCAAAGTCTAAGCTGAGAATGCTCATCTCAGCAACGTGGAAGTGATGCTCCATATGATCAGTTTTCGACTAACTACCTTTGTCGGAGTAATTTTCAAAAATGAATCCTCTCCCGTTTTTTAACGAGACATGGAATTTGGTCGGGTGAGAAGTGGACATTGAAGAAAGAACCATGTGGGTTCTGGTTCTAACTATCATCAAAAAGCAAATCGAAAACTTCCTCAGCACCTCGTTTTCAGACAGATTCGCCCACGCAAATTTCGTCTCATCCTGGCCTCTTCCTCTTTTTAGAGGAAAATTCGGCAAGCCATTTCTTCCTGTTCATTTTCCTCACCATATCGTTTTCCCTCGGTTTGCAGCTAAGCTGCTGCGCTGTTTCGCGCCCTACCATCGCTCCTGCATCCGTAAACCTAGAATGTTGTTGCGCCTGACTCCATTGTTCCAGGCTAGCCAGCTCCGGTTGCCAACTGTTTTGTGCGCGCTGTTTCATCGGAATTTTGTCATTTCCTGTGCGTTCTCTAGGTGTCAGTCGCTATATGAACATGATATTCACTGCTCTCAGCAGACGAGTAACATATTTGTAATAATAATAATAGTAGTAATAGTAATAATGATGGTAATAATAATAGTGGTAATTAATGATGATGGCGATGGTGATGATGGAGAAGTGAGGGCGGAAGGGCGTGGTCTGCTCCGGCAGTTGTCCAGGATGCCAGCCTAACTCAGTTGGCTGGAACAGGCGCGATGAAAGCAGCTGCCTTACTGCTCAGCATTCTACTTCTTGCCTTCTCGACAGTCATCGCCAAGAAGGTATTCAAGATGTTGCTGCTCGGTGTTTGCACAAGCCACCCGGGGATGGACTGTGCCGCTGCTGCTGCTGCTGCTCTTGCTGAGCTCCAGCTGCAGCAAGGAGATGAGGTTGCACTGCTTGCTGCATTACCCCAGCTTAACGTAGCTACAGTGCTGGATATCCGGGTGATCACAAATGAAGAAAACTGACCACTGGGCGGCTGTTCACACGCGGCCTTATCCCTAAGTACGATACCGCAGTATTCTTACAGTTTCATCAATGAACCAGCATATTGCAATGGACTCCGGCTTCTCCTTTTTGAAGATTTACGTGCATTCACGTTCGTTGGGATTACGTACATTCACGCTTGCTTGTACAGGAGGATGCCCCAGTGGTGAGCATGCACAGTGCTGGTACAGCATATTAAACAAGCTGAATTAAACCGTTCCTTGTCCTATGCAGCGCGGAACGAGGCTAAAGAGGTGGGGAAGGGAAGGAGGAAGGGAGATGGAATTCCGGAATGTGAGTGCTAAGAAAAGCGAAAAAAAAAAAAAATAAAACACAGTAGTACAAAGAAAAGTGCATGTTGATTTTTTCACACAATGAAAATTTATGGAATCCGACTCCTGTTTTTCTGGAACGACTTGAATAATCCAGCTTAATCGTTTTGTAAATGATATCCATGCAAAATATTTGGAAGTAACTAATTTTTTTCTTCATCCTTGTTTCAACTTTTTTCCCTTGATCTTTTTATTTCTTCTTATTTCTATCATATTTCGCAATCTCAGTAATATCAGTCAGTCAGTTTTCCTCACAAAAATTTTACTATCTCATTCTCAGAAAAAAAGTGCTATCTTTATTCCGTTTGTATTCCTGGTTTTGTCCTTCGTGCTTCTGGAAAGGAACGCTAAACGCTCAATTCTCTTCACCATTTGTTTGGTTCTTCAGCGTGATTTCCGGCGATTCTGCCTTTTTCCTCAAAAGTAACATTACTTTTCGTTCAGAAAGTTGCATTAGGAGTTTAAACGTCTAAAAATTTTCAAATACAGCAGACTCGAAGCGCCGAGGTACTTGGGATTATCTAGTGCAGTAATCACGCCGCCGTCATTCATCTAAACTAACAGGAAAATTTCAAAAGTTGCTTTGTTATCAACACTACTGAAGTATACTTTTTGCTGCATGATTATCAGAAACGTTCAAAAACTTGTATACTCCCTAATCAGGAATGCTAGGACTGCCCAAACAATCAGCATGAAGGTCTTATTTTAATGACTGTTCCCACATGTCAGGCGCAGTTATGCCAGGCCCTTCTATTTTGGATTGCATACATACAGTTAATAATCACCATCTGTCCGATATATGCGCTCCACCTCTTCGGATATCCTCCGAGTGCTCGTTTACTTTCCCGAGAATATCACTCACTAACGTGACGTCCACCAGTTCTCTGTATGATGAGAAACATGCCCTGTCCATCGGATCTTACTCTTTTGCATGATTACAATGATATCCTGCACACCACTCATCTGACAAAAAGCCCGATTGATTATATGGTCGCCGAGAGATACACCAAGTATCCTTCGCTCGTCGCTTTCTTTGTTACAGCCGATGTTCATATTTTCAATCATTTGCTTAAATTTATGAATATTGGTTGTAACATATTTCGCTACAAGCTTTTCTGGTAGATCAGGGATTGGATACTAAATCGAGATGCGTAGCAGGGTTTGGCATAGCTGTGCCCGACGTGTGGAAGCATCCAGTAACACGAGATTTTCAAAGCGATCGTCAGCTTCATTCAGCGCATAAACTAGCACTTGAAACGGGTACTCAGACGCTACTGAGATTTGGAAAGTGGCGGTGAGGAAGGAGAGAAAATAGAGGAGAATTCTCGGATTGTAATTCAGTAAATTTTTCAAATGCAACTTTTGCATGCTGTACATTCAGAAAATGTTTTGTCTAAGCTATCCAGTTGTCGGCTGCACAACACTAAAAAGTTCCCAGAGGTGCTATGCTGACTGAAAAAATCGCTTTGCTCGATATTTTCACGGAAATTGGCTAGAAAAAAGAAAAAAAAAAAAAAAAAAAAAAACA